GTCAACCCATAAGTAAGTTTAAAAAAAGGGTCTAATATCGAATAAAGAGATCATTCTCTGATGTATAATTTTACTAATTAACGAATCCTACATCGAAAATGAGATAGACCTCAAATAATTTATAAATATTTAGATATTGAAAATCCATGAAACTTAACAAAAAAAAATTCAGATGAATTCGGAATGAATTACCATATTCATCAAGAGGAGCATCGTAGTCATAGCTCGTGGCGACGAACACACCAGTTGTTCTATCAAAGTTCGTCCCTCCATGATACTGTAACGACATTCTCTTAACTCTTAATTCACTCAACATTCAAAAATTTAATTTTTTTTGTTATCTTCTTTTTCAACAAATTGTTTGTCTATCTATTTTTGAAAACTATTAAAGTTACCATATAATAATTCATAAAGGAACCACCGTTCTGTATGAAACGAGCCACGGAGAACGCAAGGTCTTCGACTGGTCTGTTTGGTAGGGGACCTCCAAATTCCGTGAACCTAAAAGAATCATCACAAGCATTACTAATTAGTTATATAAACTCTATTTTAATTTTACAAAAGATTATTATTTGAAGGAACAAAAAAGGAAGATTAGATAGCTTCGTTACTTACCAACCAGTCCAGTTCTCTGTCCACATCTTGGGTTGATTGACTGAATTAGGTTTGAAACCCTCACAATAAAACCCATTGCATGTATTTATCTATTATACCAATACAATCATATAAATGCATGTAAAAAATTGTTAACACTCAAACGTAATTTTTTCCTACCAAATTTAAAAGTAGTGTTAAAAATTTACAAGTCAAAAGTCGAAGAAAAAATTGTCCCCATGGATTCTTTTTGTTTTTGGCCGGTGGCCCCAAGTAATTTAAATGGAAAAAAATTATCATAGACAAGCAAATAAACGGGGAAAACGATNGTTTTGTTGTAATTATCAATAAGATGACAATATCTAACAAGAAAAAGAGAAATTTACTTGAAGGAAAATTGAAGGCAAAAAAAAATATTCAAAAGGTAACCCCACCAAATGTAAGAAGGAATGATATTCGAATTATCAAACATAATAAATATTTTATATAAAAAAAGAGAATTTGCACTTAATATCTAAAAAAACTTACAATTGGAAAANTAACCAAAACCCCAATAGTTTTTCAAAGGAATCCCCACAATTTAGTCATTTTTCTAATTATAAAAGTTTTTTTGGTTATTCAGTAAATTTACTCAAAAAAAGTTATATTTTATAATACACATAAATGACAAAATATTAATAAACAAATATCCCCTTTCGCTTAAGAATATCTAATTGCCGACAAGAAAAATATCTAATCATTATATATTACTATTATTTTTGTCTTCAATTACCTATATATATATAATTTTTTTTTTTTACAACCATTATATTAAATACATAATATGTACACCTATTGTTCGAATCAAGATTAATCAAAACCACTAAGATATGGGAAAATTAAATGG